GTGCGCTGCTTTTTGGTTGCGCGCTTCTTTTTGCAGGTGCAGCGGAGCTCTGATTAGCCGGTGACCTTAATCTTGTGCGTAACTGTAGTTTTGGGTGGGCGCCATTGTAACTGTATCTTTGTTCTTGAGCTTCGTCTTTCTCGCCCTTCTTTCTCTTCTTTTTGTTGTGTCTAGCCAGCCTGCGGGCTGCATGATCGGATCGATGCGTGGAGAGTGGCTACGTCCCCCACGCCACGGTCTGCCCATGCAGAACGTAGGCAAYCCCTTCTTTTCTCCCCATCTAAGTCCTCGTAATTCCGTGTTCTTCGCGCAAGCATGCACGCTTTAAATTTCGGCTGCGCGATTAGTTAGCTCTCTTAAAAAGTTAGAGGAAGCTCGGGCCCCGGGGTAACGCGATCAGTGAGGGTCGACACACGAGCGAAGTAAGAGGTGAGTATAGCGGGAGTTGGGCGACCCGACGGGCTGGTGCCGAATGCGCGGGGTTGACGTGGGCCACGACGAACTGTGGGCACGGGCGAACCTGACCGGTGCAAGAGGACTAACCGGGGTGACGACTTCGTGGGTTGGTGCACGACGACGGACTATCCGCATCGGAGAGAGAGAAGGAGAGAGAGAGAGGGCTGAGGTTCATGGACGTGGATTTGCAACTTTCTTTGTCTTTCCTTTTTCATCTTTGTATATAAGTTTTGATTCCGGCATCGGGCGATCCACTCTTGTTTTGTTTTCAGCATCTCTGTCTCGACTTAAGTTGATTGTGTGGCTTTTGCAATCTATCTTTCCCTTCCGATTATGTTTGATCTCTGTGAGCGAATGAATGGTATGGTTGTCATCTGTCTTTCCCACTTTTGCGTGTCTTTGCTTGCAAATCAATCTCGATCTGTGTCTGTGTCTGGATCGTAGGTGAATAGATGAAGTGTTTATCGTGTTGCTCACTTTGGCATGATAGGCTTGTAATCTAATCCGATCCTTTTCCCTCCCTTTTCTGTGTTTGATCGGATGCATGAACTTCTTTTGACGGTAAATGGATGATATGCTCGTCATTTTCCTTATTTCTGCTCATTCTAGGGGACTTTGAGGGTGTTGTGGGGATTGATATGTCGCTTGCACTTCATCTCCCCTGGCTTCGTCGTTATCACTACCCGTTTCCCTCTCTTCAGACTCCTCCTTCCCTATCACCAGCTTCTTGTGGTACCGTGGCACTCTATCACCCTGTACTGGCCCCGCGTGACCTATCGAAATTCCAGACGGCGCGGCGGTACCCGACATCACCATACGTGACACCAAACGACACGTGTCCTGACCAGGAGGACCGACTCTCGGGAACGGAAGTTCCCGATGACGAACAATAGAAATTAAGCGGACGGATCGGACGGACCAGGTGCACCACGCATACCATCTTCCTTATGCTGCACGATATTTACTGCCCCGACTACAAGTTATCCATCCCCAGCCATATTGCACCTTTGCCCGGGAACTTAGATCCCCAGGGGATCTAAGTTCCGACCTGGGACTCCACCCCCACTTTCCAAAAATCCTTGGCACACCCCTTTTTGCACTTCCAGGCCCACATCCTACTCCGATCAGGAACCTCAAGTCGCGCTGGGCGTGAGGTTGGTATCGAAGCCGACACGTGGCAGGGTTATAGAGTTCGTAAGACGACAGCTGGGATCGAAGCGATCTAGCTAACAGGGGAAGACCCCGAGTTCGAAACGCGCATCGCCGCGATCCTGTGGTCACTCGAAGCCGATCTGCGGCTCAACGGACGGTAAACATGAATGCTCACCCCCAGAACGCGCCGGTGAACCCTAATCAACAACCCAATCCAATCCAACAGTCGAATCCTAATCTACCCCCACCTCGAGCACGGACACCTGTGGCCCCACCCGATCTTTATTTTTTTGATCCCTCCCATTATCTCGTTGGAGCATGGCTAGCCACGCTCCGAGCTCATCAGTACGATGATCAAGAAGCACAAATCAACATTCCTGCCCGATTAGGAGGAGATGCCCATCATTGGTTTAATACCTATGTATGGGTTGATCTCCCGACATTCGAACGGGATTTCTTGAACCGGTTTGATTATATTCACCCGGAACAGGTTCTATTTATGATCTAGAATCGTGTGCAAAAACCGCTCGAATCCGTAACTGAATATCGCAATAGATTCTTTCGAATGTTTGTAAAGACTAAGCGCGGCGAGCAGGTAGATAGGGACTTGTTTATCGACGGACTTCGCAGCAGAATGATGAGGGCGAAACTGCGAAAAACAGTTCTTCCCCATCAACCACACGCTGCAACAGATCATGGCCGCAGCCGAAGAGATGGAACGAAATTTTGTCGCGAGCTTCCTGGAGGGAGAAGATTATTCCAAGGAAGGGGACTCGTCCGAACTGGCAAGAGCTAAGGCCAAACTGGCGGCACTGCAAAACAAGTTCGAAAACATGGGGTTTGTGACTGACCCGGTTACCTACTTGGAACAGATCACGCCAAAGCGACCTGTCCCAAGTATGATCCCGAGTATGTCGATCCAAAGCATGCCTATTCCAGTAATGACAGCACCTCCCCCACCCGCCGAGACCTCTGGACGAACGAACGAATCGACCGCTATACTAGAGTTAACCAAAACATTAGTAAACCTGATCCAAGAAAGCAAGAAAGAACAGAGGGAACATAACGCTCGGATAAAAGCTATGATGAGATCGATGCGGCCGATAGCAGTGCGAGCACCCCCGATTCAACAAGGGATAGCTCAAGCACCCGCTCCAGCAGGAGCTCCCGCCCTGAACGTGTGTTACACGTGTCATCAACCTGGACATATTGCCCGAAACTGTCCCCATCGACCGCCGCAACAATGAGGCGGAGCCGCACCAGCGGCAGCGGCTCCGATCGCTAATGGGTCAGGACGGGAAGGGGCACTGATGAAAGACGTAGAAGGAGCAGGGTGTGCGTTGGCAACCTCAGGGGAAGCCGCCAAACTCATCCCGTGGGATCAATATATGAATCTTGGCTATCTGGGGCTTGGGATAATCGGTACAATCAGACCCGCCCCAGACTAGAAAGAGATGGCGGAATGGCGACCGTGTCCAGAGGAAATGGAGTTGGGAGGACCCACCTTTGTCACTTGCGAAATCGATGTTTTAAACATCGTTCGGGCATTAGATCATCGGATACCCCTCCCGATCGGCCACTTGCTATCGATATGGGAACAAGCTAACGAACGCATGACGCAGCACTGCAAAGTGAATCGAAAATGATTCGCTCTCGCCCGAGCAGCTAACACGAAAGGAAAGAGTCCAACACAAGACGAACCACTTGCAGACACGTCAGATCCGATACGCGTTGGGCTGCTCTAAAAAGACGATCACTTCTTATCGATCAAAGCGATTCCGTGGAAATCCGCGGAATGCGATGTCGAAGTATGGGGAATCCCATACAATGCCATCATCGATTCCGGAGCAACAATCTTAGCCGTCTCGCTAAGGGTAGTCGAGAGAGCAGGAAGGAAGAAAGATTTAATCATGTTAACAGAAAAAGAACAACTTGTTTCAGCAGACGAAGAAAAAGATCAAGATAGTAGGGTGAATGAACAATGTCGCTTTCCGATTAGGGAAGGTGCATGCTTTGGGAGATGTCGTAATGTTAGATGTTAACACTTATGACGTTCTTTTAGGCTTGCCCGTCCTTATGGCGTTACAGACTAATCTGGATTTCGAAAAACGATCGATTGTTCTGCGAAATACGAGAGGAAAACCCTACGCTATACCAATGAGGCTGACTCTTCGTACTGTGACCGCTCTGCGAGTTTCTCCAGTTATGGCAGGGACTCTTCGAATGATTATCTGGGATGGTTCCGCGGACGATGAGCAATCATCGAAGGAAGCGGGCAGTAGCGATGAGGACGATCCGACAATCTTGGAACTAACACGACAACTCATCTGCTGTCCCGCACGAAGAGAAAGGAAACAAACTCCAACCATAACCAATCGTGACAGGCTGAGAACTCAGGCGATGATTCTGGGAGAGCCACTCGTGCAGATTTCGAGGATGGTCGATTCTTTGGAACCCCCTCGAACCCTGTACAAAGGCGTCTCCCCGCTCCTTGCCCGATATATTGACAAAAGACCTTTCTGTGACATCACGAGCCTACCTCAATCTTTGTTGCAACTTGCAAAAGAAGTGCGATTACTACGCCTCGGGGCGGAAGCCAGTTCTTTGAAACCCCCTTGGCGTCTCGAGACAGAATCAGACGGGCTCGGAATCAAGATCACAACTAAACCAGTACCGTGGCAAGATATCTGCGATGGAATCACCCCGGAAGGACACATGGCCATCCGAGAGGAAGACGCGCAGATGATGGCCACGGTGTTCTCCTGGCGATCGGACCATTCGTTTATCTTAGCGCCACCACCCGAGGCAACCAAACGAGTAAAGACGAAACGAATCGATGTGCAGATATGGGATCAATCCTATGAACTGCACGTGCCTCATTACATACCGAACAAAATCCATCACCTAATCACGAACATCTTGAAAGAATATCAGGGAGCGATTAGCGTGATGGACACTGACATCGGCCTATCGCTAGTCATACAGCACGAGATTCAGACACGAAGTCATCCCCCAATCCACTGTAAACCTTATAGATACTCTTTCACTGAACGAAAAACAGCTTTACAGCGGACTAGGGAATTCGAAGCTAGCGGATGGATTGAACCGGTCATAGGACCTTGGTCTTTCCCTGAAGTATTAGTACCAAAGAAGAACGGGTCGATTCGCATATGCCTCGATTATCGCAAGTTGAACGATATCACGATCAAACATGTGTATCCCCTCCCCTGGATTGATGACTTGTTGGATGCAATTGGTTGTGCTAATTATTTCAGTAAGTTTGATATTCGGCATAGCTTCCATCACATTCTGGTCAAGGAGGAAGATCGACCGAAAACAACTTTTGTCCTGTTCGAAGGCACATGGCAGTGGATCTGGTGTCCTATGGGGATTTGTAATGCGCCTGCCACGTTTTAGCGGGCTATGAACGTGACATTTCAAAACTTCGTCAACAAGACAAGGCTGACTCAAGGCATGATCAACTTATGCGTCATCGTCTACATGGATGACATCCTGGTCTATTCGGAAACCTATCACGGGCACGCACAACACTGTGACATTGAATGGATATTAAGCGTGCTGAGGGATGCTGGGTTCAAGATCGTGCTTGAGAAGAGTGAGTTTTTCCTTTCGGAAATCTCGTTCCTGGGATACGTGGTGACACGTGGAGGACTACGGCCCGATTCCAGAAAGGTCGCGGCGGTGAAGGAAGCGCCAGTTCCCACATCGCTAACACAGGTTCGAGCTTTCCTGGGATTGGCATCCTATTACTGTCGCTTCATCAAGGGTTTTGCTGCGATTGCACGGCCTCTGACAAACCTGTTACGAAAGGACCAGCCCCTCAGTTGGGACGCGGAGTGTGATCAGGCCTTCGCCACTCTCAAAGACGCATTAGCTACGGTGCCGATTTTGATCTGGCCGGACCCTACAAAGCAGTTCATTCTCATAACGGACTGGCAGCCGGAGGCTATCTCCGCTATTTTAGCACAGAAGGGGAATGATGGTCGAGAGCACGTCATTGAATACGTGTCGCGAACGGTACAAGACGAACGGAAAAACGACTCGGCCCCGCAAGGCGAGTGCTATGCAATGGTTTGGGGAATCCAGCACTTCCACCCGTACCTCTATGGGCAGAAGTTTCTCCTTGTAACAGATCATGAGCTGCCATTATTGGCTCTCAAGAGGCTAACTAATTACACGGGCATGATTGGACGTTGGGTGGTGCGCTTACAAGAATACGACTTCGACATCGTGCATCGCAAGACCGAGAGGCACGAGAACATGGACGGGCTGACACGTCTGCATCGGCCGGCGAAAGTACCAAAGAGTAAAGAGATTACCCCGTGGAAGGAACCAGAACCAGATAACAGACCTGAGTATGGACAAGTGGCGGTTCTTCCACGTGGCAAGAAACCGGCGAACAACAATTGGTGACGGAGACAACGCCACAACTCCTCTCTCTCTCCTCTCATTTTTTTTCTCTTCTCTCCCTGACAAATTTTGTTATTTTTGCGAAGCGATTTCATGCGTCTATTCAGTCTCAATGCATCCTAGTGGGGAAGGGTACGTCGAATGGGTAGATTGTCGACAGTGCATTGCGAGAGCCCACGACTCTTGCATTCAGTACCGGAATAGTGATAAGCCCTGGTTGTGTCCACTATGTCGAGTCGACAAGATTCCGACCGAAGCTCGATTCCTCAATGCCACGCCGAAAGGGTTGGAAAAGACCCGGAAGTTTCGAAGGGCCGAAGTCTGGACCGACATAGCCCTAATTGCCACCCTAGTAGGGAACCCCCCTCCAAGACTTCACTAAGGAGGACCGGAGGAAGGCTAATGAAAGGGCTCGGGATTATCGATGGAATGAGGGAAGGCTAGAAAAATGGAAAACGGATGGTAGTGGGAAATGGATGGTAGTGTCGCACCCGTTCATGAGGTATGACTGGGTTAAGACGACACACGAGTAAATTGCCGCCCATTTTGCTGTACGGATCACGGGAGCAGCCATCGATCAAAACGAATGGTATTGGTCCAATATTAGGGACGACGTTAAATTCATCGTCCAGAACTGTCAGGTCTGCGCGGCTGATAAGGCGCCAATTCAGCCGTCAAGATCGATAGTCCTGACGGTAGTTGAACGACCGTTTCAAAGGGTTAGCATGGATACTACCGATGTTGTGGTGCCCCCTGGACCAAATAACTGTGAATATATAGTCCTACTAGTTTTCGTGGATCACTTTTCGAAATGGATCGAGGCCTATCCGTGTCGAACGCGACAAGCCGTCGAAATCGCATGGTACGTCAACCGTTTTCTCGGGATGCATCAGGATACAGAAGAGATCCTGACCGATAACGGGGCGGAATTCAGCGGGGAAGTGCTAAGAAATCTAGTCATACACGGTGTCGCTCTTCGGAATACTGCACTACACATGTCACAATCAAACAGGTTGGTGGAAAACGCTAAGCGCGTGATAAAAGACCGCATTACGACGAAACATCTCGGCACGGGATCTGAGGCCCTGGCCTGATATCGTCGATCACATCTTGGCGGTCCATCACGGAACGTCTTACGAATCAACGGGCCTGAGCCCGTTCCAGTTACGGGCCAATAGCATGGCTTGTGTTGCCGTATCGAGCCTCCCCTCAATGAACCAACGGCCTACGAGGGCCACGATTCGGGACAAGGCCAAGCGACACATGGAACTGATGGAACGGTCCTCGCCCCGATTGGCCCGAAAACGAAAACGAATGACCGAGTTGGCCCAAGGCCGACACGCCTGCAGCTACGAGGGCCGAAATGGGAATGCGGGTCCGCGGCCCTAGTACAAATTGGGGGACATAGTGCAGGTGAGGAAATGTGCTCGCCAAGGGAAGATAGCGCCACGATTCTTTGGGCGATTCCGTGTGATCGAGCTCGGTCCGAACGGCGTGAACACCGTGCAGTTCGTACCGGAGGTCTCGGGAAGCCGATCGGCTCGTCCGATTGTCCGTCACGTGTCCTATCTGCATCCTCTCCCCTCCTCTCCATCTCCCCTATCGTTTGTCTCCTCCTTCGCTGAGGAAGAGGACGACGACTGCTTGTCACCCGCTTTTCCTTCTGCATCACCCTCTCTATATGTTACTCCGTCTTCGTCGCCATCGCCATGAGTTTTCTCACCGAGCGGGCTCTCGGCGATCATATGCTGGCGTCACACGACGACATCTCATCGATTCAGCAGGTCTATCATTCGCGGATCAGCCCCGACTTTCTTCGCTTCGCTCAGTTCTTCAGCACCACGGGGGTATACGCAGCGGCGGAATTCCGGTTTGCGGCTCATCGTCAGACGATCGTGTTGGTTGAAGCATCAGCCTTTCGTCGGTTGTCGGCACCAGGGGTTAGCCACGTGTCCACGATCGCCGTCTTCAGTGGCGACATCAGTGTGATCGACCCCCTACGGCATACGACCATTCGTACGACGTTGAGGGAGTGGGGTCAACAGGTGGCAACGAAGTGGAATCGCTGGCTTACACGGCACGGCGACGAGGCTTTCCCTACATACGGCGTCGAAGCTGGAGGACTTCGTACATCTCGGCACGAGCCGGCGGTTGTGCTTCCTGAACTCGTTCCTTTTCGGCGTCCTCAATGAGCCGATCCCAGATCTCAACCTTCGCTTTCCCCTCTCTCTTTCCCACCTTCTCGCAGTCCAGTCTCCATCCCCGTCGTTCCTTCTGTCTAGAGTCACTCGCCGTCCCGCTTATCGATCGCGGACTGTGGCGATTATGGTGCGAGCGCTTTCTTGATCTCTCCCTGTATCTAGTTGGGGTAGAGCAGGCGTGGACTCGAGACGTTGAGCATCGTGGGAAAACGGAGAACGTCGAGTTGTTGGTCATCCGGGAGTGGAGGACGGAGGTGGAAGGAGACCTCCTCGGACTTCTCTTCGGATCGGTTCAACCAGGTTATCGCCCACAGATCGTGCAAGAGCTTACAGTCCCCCTCGTGCAGCTGGCTGACGATCTTCCTCTTGCCATCATCTCCCAGTACGACGAGAGGCTAGTGCCCAACATCCTTTCGCGAAGGCTTGCGCAATACCTACAGTGGTCAACTTGCCTAGAAAAGCGGTGGGCGGATGATCGACCGCCATCACGATCAAAGTACTTGGACCCCCGGGGAATTATACATCCCCACTTCTTCCAGCCACCGACGGTTTCAGAAGAAAACGAAGAAGCAGACGAGGAGGAGGAAGATGAAGACGAAACGTCGGAGGAAGGCATCTATAGTGAGCACAGCGAGGGCGGGCCTAGTGAAGAAGAAGAAGAAGAAGAAGAAGAAGAAGAAGAAGAAGAAGAAGACGAGGACGAGGAACCCGAGTGGGAAAGCTTGGGCGAAGAGGCGGACCGCGAAGAAGAGGAGGATCCTGAGGCAACGGAGCAGCGGAGAGAAGAGATCGCGACCGGAAAGCGGCCACTAGAGCATGAAAGTGGCTCCAATCTGCCAGTCGGAGACGACCCGACTCGGGATCCAAAGCCGCCCAAGCCCGAAGATGGGGACCTTGCTGCCACGGCTACTGACGCGCCGACCAAGAGACGGCGAAGCCGATCCCCCTCCCCCTCCACCTCCGCCCGTCCCTCAGTTCGTGCACGTACTGATGTGGGGAATCGGCCTTCGTCCCCGGTCATTATCCCGTCGTCCCCTTGATTATATCACCCTCCGTCAGATCACCGTCCATGTCTCCTTCCCTAGCAACCCCTTCCCCACCGACACCTTTCGCCATTTCTACTCCACTCGTCTCGCCGTCACTGTCTATCCTCACCCTTCTACCCTGTGTGCCACACCTGTATTCTGTCTCCATGTTCTCCTCCTTATAGCTGCATGGCGGGGCCACAATATCGTCGAGGTTCATTGCATGATTACGGGAACCATCCCCGCATGTGAAAACCACGATCGATTTCGCACCGACCTCTTCCGCACCTTCGCCACCGTGTATCCCGATTACCTCGCTTCCCTTCCCCGCAGTGGTACCCGATTCCCCTGTCTCCATCCAAGCATCTGTTACCAGGAGCTTCCTGTAACGGTAGCGGATATAGATCGCTTCCTGCCCCCACTCCCAACGGATCCACCCCCTCCTCACGCGCCCATGTACCGTCTTCCATTCCCCCTCCCTATAAATCAGTAATGCATGGTTGTCTGGCACGTGTCGCGGCGACGACACATATGATCCCCTCCTGAGATTGTCGAGAGCCCTTCCTGGGGAAATAGTAGGATAGAGCAGTATATGCCACTATAGAATGACTTCCACACTTTTTTGTACGGTAAGTGGCAATGAAAAGGCTCCGCGTGTCGATTGATTAGAGAAATCGACATGTGTCAACAAGCAACCAGGAGCTTGCTAATATTGGAACCCCCTGGGCGTCACATATGTGACGAACCCCTTTCTGGGCCGCGCGATTTTCTGCGTGATTGCAATAAGGGGACCTAAGATAGGAAGTTTGGGCCAATTACGGGAGATTGGGATCGGTGGGAAATTGCATCAGTATCCTTGCTTCTTCGTCTTTTTCGCGTCTCTTCCTTTCGGATGGCTGGGTCGAGATTGGGCAGGTCCTGGGATGGTCGGTTGATCAGTCGGCTGAGTGGTTGGCGCGTCGTCGTGCGCACGATTGATAAATGTTGACATCGTTTCTTTTCGTCGCTGTTGCATCTTGGGCACGGATCTCGCGCGGGAAATTGCTTTGTTCTTTTTGAATTTTCTTTTTGAATTTTTTTCGATCTTGTCGAGCCATGGCGGCTCTCGGAATTTCGGACTTTCTTTTCGGAATTTGTGTTTTTCTTTCAGCATCTTTCGGCTCTAGATAGGAATTTAGGAATTTAGGAATTCGGATTTCTTTTTGGCGCGCGCTACTTTTTGCTTGCGCGCTTCTTTTTGCGGCTGCAGCGGAACTCAGATTAGCCGACGCCCTTAATCTTATAACTGTAATTTTGGGCGGACGCCATTGTAACTGTATCTTTGTTCTTGAGCTTCGTCTTTCTCGCCCTTCTTTCTCTTCTTTTTGCTGTGTCTAGCCAGCCTGCGGGCTGCATGATCGGATCGATGCGTGGAGAGTGGCTACGTCCCCCACGCCACGGTCTGCCCATGCAGAACGTAGGCAAYCCCTTCTTTTCTCCCCATCTAAGTCCTCGTAATTCCGTGTTCTTCGCGCAAGCATGCACGCTTTAAATTTCGGCTGCGCGATTAGTTAGCTCTCTTAAAAAGTTAGAGGAAGCTCGGGGTCGCGCGATCAGTGAGGGTCAACACACAAGCAAAGTAAGAGGTGAGTATAGCGGGAGTCGGGCGAACCGAGGGGCTGGTGCCGAATGCGCGCGGTTGACGTGGGCCACGGCGGACTGTGGGGACGGGCGAACCTGACGGGTGCAGAAGGACTAAGCGGGGTGACGACTTCGTGGGTTGGTGCGCAACAACGGACTGTCCACATCGGAGAGAGAGAAGGAGAGAGAAAGAGTTGTGGTTGATGGACGTGGATTTGCAACTTTCTTTGTCGTTCCTTTTTCATCTTTGTATACAAGTTTTGATTCCGGCATCGGGCGATCCGCCCTTGTTTTGTTTTCGGCATCTTTATCTCGACTTAAGTTGATTGTGTGGCTTTTGCAATCTATCTTTCCCTTCTGATTATGTTTGATCTCAGCGAGCGAATGAATGGTATGGTTGTCGTCTGTCTTTCCCACTGTTGCGTGTCCTTGCTTGCAAATCAATCTCGTTCTCTGTCTGTGTCTGGATCGTAGGTGAATAGATGAAGTGTTTATCGTGTTGCTCACTTTGGCATGATAGGCTTGTAATCAAATCCGATCTTTTTCCCTCCCTTTTCTGTGTTTGATCGGATGCATAAACTTCTTTTGGCGGTAAATGGATGATATGCTTGTCATTTTCCTCATTTCTACTCATTCTAGGGGAATTTGAGGGTGTTGTGGGGATTGATGTGTCGCTTGCTTGAAGGGCTGAATTGCTTATTGATTGAATGGTTGGGTGAGTGTCCCCGCTGCATGATAAGCCTCGGACCTTGTGCATTAGAATCGCGCGACCGACCTGCGCGCGATCGAACCTCCCGTACGCACACATATAAACGCGGCCCAAATCCGGACGGCTTACACGTGTCCGTACGCGGTCGATCGGCGATCGTCGCAAGTGCCCGACTGTGTCAATGACGAGATGGGTCACGGCACGAGCACAAAACTCGATCTTTGTAGCGGACTAACCCCGTGGGAACCCTTGCAGCCTTACCCGGAATTCCCTTGCCAATCGGGGAGCGATCGAGTGAGTGAGGAGGATTTCCGCCTCGCCACACTCCGTGACCCCCGCTGTCCCGAAATGCCGGAAGAACATCACTCTCACTACTTCATATCCCCCGGCTTCGTCGTTATCACTACCCATTTCCCTCCCTTCAGACTCCTCCTTCCCTATCACCAGCTTCTTGTGGTACCGTGGCAGTCTATCGCCCTGCACTGGCCCCGCGCGACGTATCAAAATTCCAGACGGCGCGGCGGTCGCCGACATCACCATACGCGGCACCAAACGACACGTGTCCCGACCAGGAGGACCGACTCTCGGGAACGGAAGTTCCCGATGACGAACAATAGAAATTAAGCGGACGGATTGGATGGACCAGGCGCACCGTGCATACCATCTGCCTTATGCTGCACGACATCTACCGCCCCGTCTACAAGCTATCCATCCCCAGCCATATTGCACCTATGCCCCTGAACTTTGCCACAGGAGATCTCAGTTCCGACCTGGGACTCCACCCCCACTTTCCAAAAATCCTTGGCACACCCTTTTCGCACTTCCAGGCCCACATCCTACTCCGATCAGGAAGTCACGCTGGGCGTGAGGTTAGGGCGTCACAGCGCCACCTCAGCGCATTCGACCGTAGCCGATCCGTGAATCCCACACAAGGGGGCGGCGCCTCTTCCAAACTACATGCATCAGCAGCCTGCTCAAGCAGCTCCAGTTGCTGAACACAACCTAGAATATTCGATGGCATGCCATAGATAGTGATGTTATCATTGTAGATGTCATAGTTGACAATATCACCATATTAACCCCTGTTGATGTGATTGTGGTCGATGTCAGTGCTGTTATTGCCGTTGTTGATGAAATTGCTGTTGTTGGTGTTGTTAGTGTTGGTGGTGATGTTGTCGATGATGTCGTTGCTGCTGCTGCTGTCCATGTCTCGGTATCTGACAGACCAGTCACGTGTCTCCTCGCCAGAAGGCCAGCGAACATGTCTTTGACCTGCTGCAGCATCTCTACGCAGTCGTAGAAGATGGCAATCGCCCGCGCTCTGTCGATCGCATGCCGCTGTCGAAAAGAGATCTGTTCATAGAGATCCTCTTCCCACCCATCGCAGGTCTCCTCTCCCTCCAGGAGAACATCATATGGCAGATCGCCATGCGCTTGACACAGCGCCATATACATCTCCTCCAGCTGCTGTTTGTAAAGTATCACAGTAGACAGCGCGGACACTTCCTCCTCACCCTGCAGGTCAAGAGGGGCTCCCCACAGTTCCCCATGAGGCGAAGTCTCCTTGCCCTCCCCAATCATTGCCGAAATTGCAGAAGCTGCCGCTACTAAACGTCAACGTGTCAACAGTTCCACGGCTGGCGTCACCCCTGTCCGTGTGTCACCGGACACCTGCGTCACCAACGGCAGGCGCCACGTGGCAAAACACACCTTTCTCTGTTTCTGTCTAGTGGTAAAAGAGTGAGGCCTGAGAAGGCACTTCTTACCCCCAGCACATATTCACAGGGAGAAACAACGTATTTCCGCAAGGGGGCCTCCGCTCCAATTTAAATCCGGGGCAACTCCTTGGAAGCCAAGAGCAAGTGGAATGCTGATTCAGAAGGGATCATGGTGTCAGGCCAAATTAACAGTAGGGAAAACTAGGGCGCAGTCCCGGTTTGACTTTGAAAATGCATTTCAGGCATGATTTCGCGAATGTTGCGCCAAGCTTGGGAAAATGGTGAGTGTTGTGTCCAGACCTTTTATTTTGTATTTTTTTTTTTTTTAATTATAAAGATCGTTGGCCTTAGGGTAGCATTATCATCGGAATAACCATCCCACATGCAGGTAGGGTGTAGTGTTTTCCCTTTTTTTTCTATTATTGCAGAGTTTTTCATCCGCTAATTACAAATTTGTAGACATTTATCTCTCTCTGAGATGTACGTTTTTCCCTTTTGTTTCTCTAGGCTGTGGTGTTCACTCCAGAGAGTCCTTTCAGTGACATTTGTGTACCCGGACAACAACAACGACAAAAAAAAAAAAAAAAATCGCAAGTGCGGCATGGTTCCAGTCACACAAAGTCGTGCTCACAGCGATTCAAAATTGTTGGCCCAGAAGGGTGGATGGCGACATTCGCAAGTACCCTGGCTGAGCAGGAAAAAAAACAAACACAAGTGTTGTGCAACCACGTAAAATTTCAAGTTGTTGCAGATTCATGTTAGGGCCCGTTTCCCGGCTTTAATTGAAAGTTGTTTAAACTCCCCACTCAGCCCGGGTGCCTGCAACCGCTGTCTCGTCAGGTCACCTAGCCAAGTTCCTGATGGGTGATGGATGGTCCTGAGTGGTCCACACTAATGTAGGAATCCGAAGGACAGAGGGGGTGGGGCCCCTTCGGGGTGCGCGGGGGTGGTTTATCAGAGGAAAAAAAAAAAAACAGAAGCCGGAAACAGCCTTGCATCTGTGGTGGGGTTGGCAATGCATGGAATCACACAGAAATTCAATCTGGATGTGGC